ATATTATATTAGACATTAGGTTGCATGCTGTTGTTATTGGTTCAATTTAGTTAGGGAAAATCACGTGACGAACACGAGTGTTGTCGTTATAAAAATGTCGAGCGAACGAACGAATACGAATACGATTATACGGTCAAATATCGAAGTATTATCAAGCGTTGTATATATGTATATAAGTTCATATTAAAGAAACCAAAGTTCATTACAATTGGATCCCCTTAAAATATTAAAAATAAAACCTCAAGTAACCCCATTTTAATTAACAATATACCAGTGCCTAGAACTGAGACCTATACATGCCTGGGCGTTCACCTGGACGAAAAGCTTACATGGGAAAAACATATTGACGAGATCTGTGCCAAGGTAGGGACGGGAATTGGGGTTATGAGAAGGATGAAGCCCTTCGTTCCTCTAGAAACAATAAAACTAACTTACAATGCCCTTGTGCAACCGTATTTTAATTACTGCAGTCCCCTATGGGACAACTGTGGAATTGGTCTCAAGGATAAGCTTCAAAATTTCCAAAATCGCGCTGCCAGAGTGATAACTGGGTCCACCTACGATACTCGATCAGTTGATGTGCTTAATACGCTAGGTTGGGAAACTCTGGATCAAAAACGTAACTACACAAAATCGATCTTTATGTATAAGATAATTAATGGTCATGCCGCCCCCAATCTAAAACAATCCTTCCGATTGCACCGTGAAGGTGATACCTTGCATGACCTTAGAAATCGTGCTACCGACTTGGCACTTCCAAAACCTAAAAGAGATTTCGGTAAAAGGAGTTTTAAACACAATGGAGCTATCCATTGGAATAATTTACCTATTGAAGCAAAAAATGCAAATTCCATTAACACATTTAAAAGGATTTTAAACTCGCAACGAGTTGAAGCTGACTCACCTTGATAAATGATTATTTTAAAATAATTTAGTTTCAATGTATTTTTCTGTATTTGATAATTCTTCTGAGTAGTCCTTGTATTAATCTGTAATCCCTCTTAGTAATTTGTGACTGTATTTTATTTTGTACTTGTAAGTAATATCTATAATGTCTATCATAATTTGTAAGTATAGCTTTATGTATTTTGCAATACACGCCCCTCATGAAAACCAGCTAACGCTGATGAGGCTAGCGTCACTAAATAAATCATTATGTATGTATGTATGTATGTATGTATGTATGTATGTATGTATGTAGCTCAGACGGTAGAGCATCGTTCTAGAAATGCGATGGTCGCGGGTTCGAATCCCAGCCGCGGTGAAGTAGAATTTTCTGCTTTCCCGGTTTGGTATACACTCGTCTGAAAACAACTCAACAATCGCTACATAACGTTACACGAGTGGAATCGGAATCGTGGGAAACCACAACATTTGCTTGCCCGGGATGAACCCATCTTGTGGGGATTGACCGGATGCGAGTAACTGGTGCAAACCGTTTTCAACTATAATAAAATGGCATAGAGTGCTCGAATAGCACGGCAAGTACTTTCTGCATAATGCACTATGAGCTATATATCATGGTATTTTTTGTCAAGTGTTTGTTTCACTTTGATATGTCGTAAGTGAAACAAACACTTGACAAAAAATACCATGATATATATATATATATATATATATATATATATATATATATATATATATATATAT